TAATTTGGGAGTTTCCATTGCATTTTGCATCCTGAGGCATGCAAATCATTAAGAACGCATCATGTCTCGAAAGTGGTTTTTGGAACTGTTATTTTAATCCAAACCAGAGTTCTGAATCCTTTTTAATTTTACAGCACTCTTGCCCACAAAGGCATCGGACATGTCATGCAATACCATGCTGAAAAAGACGGATAAACAACAAGAGCGATGCTGTTAAGTTTCTTTGAATTTAGTACACTGAATGAATGGTTATTAATACAGAAAGAGAGAAAACAGAAGTCCTTGTTTGTGCCCCCAACTGATTTGTACCTAAGATAACAGAAACTCTAGGTACGCTTCACACAGGAACATCGAGGTACCTTTGACTTAGTCTACATTTTGGATTCTCTGGTTCGCTCTCGCTTTTTATCACTTAAGAAATATTGCCAAGAGTTCCACTGTGTCACACTGTGTAGATTGTCATCCATGCCTTCATTTAATCACATCTGGATTACTGTTTACTTGTCTTAGCAAGGCTTCCTTTGAACGTCTCCAAGTTGTTCCAACGCCGCTGCAAGCCTTCTGACTAAGTCTTCTGACTAAGTCTTCTAAATACTCACATATCACACTGTTGCTAAATCAGTTGCTCTGGCTCCCCATCAACTTCAGACTTCACTTTAAGTGAAAATGACTTGACTTTTATAGCTCTGCGTGGACAAACACTGCCATACAACAGTGAACTTTTACATCCATACATCCCCAGCAGGTCCCTGAGGTCATGTGATCAGGACCTGCTGGCTATACAGCGTACATGACTGTGAAATAAGGAGATAGGAGACAGAGCTTATGCAACAGTGGCGCCCCCGAACTCTGCTCTCGCTCTGAGTCTGAGATCTGTGGACTTGGTGATCTCTTTTAAAAGGCAGCTAAAAACTCTGCTTGTTTTTCAGCTTTGTTTTTGGCTAACACTTTAGTTTTAGGTTTTTATTATTGTTGTTGGAAAGCACTTATTCATCTTGAAAGGTGCTATATCAATAAAATTGTACTAAATTGTTTAAAAAAAGACATTAAGTAGAAATGAATGGATGTTTTCAGAAAGTACTTGGATTTCTTTAAACGTAAAAAAATCAATTTTTCTGGTTTTTACGTAAATATTTTAATTGTCTGGCCCAGTAAATCTCTTGTGGTCGAGCTAAAATAAGGCAGACTGCCTTGCCTGAGAGGAAAGGGTCACTGCAAATCAATACAAAGCTGTGGTGGCGCAGCCCCTCACTAAGACACTTAAATTTGTCGCCCGTCTGAAAGTGGTCAAGCCTTAACATCCTGATATGGAAGCATAATGTGGAATCTCAATGCACAAACATCATGATTAATGGAGAATAATGAACACACAATATGCCTCCTTTCAGAGTGAAATCCCAGTGTTAATTAATATTAATGCTGGAGGCTTTACAACATTTCATTAATCAGCCAAGAACATGTAACCATCTCCTCTCACATCCTAACTTTAAAGTGAGCACACACTCCGTGTGTCCCTGCTCTCTGCACTTATGGTAGTGAAGTTATTAAAACCAAAGAAAATAAATAATAGATTACTCATTACCACTGGCAGGGGATTTAGACAAGAGATATGCTTTCACTAAGTACAGAGAAGAAAGTGCAGCTGTGCTAAAGAAGAATAGAGTTAATGACTACAGTAGTAGCAGTACCTTTGGTAAAATTTATAACTGGATCGGAATGCAATTTAGGTGAAACCTACTTGGTATCAAGAAACAATAATTTAGTAAAGGTGAACATATTCAGCTTTTTTACTGGCGACTATACTGATTTATCTTCCGCTCGCTAACAAATCTGAACCAGTCAGCTTCTTTCTTTAACATGGAAAGCTTCTACTTGTCAGTGTTCGGCACATTCCACAGTAGACAACAAACAGCGTTTTATCACTCTTTCAGTGGACACATGCAAAACTAACTTTAGAAGCCTTCATCAAGCGTTCGATAAAAGGAGATCGCATTTTCTTCCTTTTCTCTTAAAAGTAGCAATGTGGCAATGACAATAGATGTGACAGCGGATGTTTTGCTACAGCATCATCGACACTTCTGCAGTGGGTTTGTGTTTGTATGTCATTTTACCTCCACATAAAGAATTGGGAAGATGCCAATCTTGTCTCCCAGCATGCCTTCTGCCCAGTTCTCATCTACTCGCCTGATTACTGTCAGCACCTCATCCTGGGGAGAGAGGAAATGAGTGAAGCTACAAACACACACAAGTATACACCGTATACCACACTTCCAGAACAATAGACATTTAACTACTTTTGATATGCTGCAGACAAAACAACGTTTATTTGTTCTGCCTTTGCATATAAAGCGTTTATGCATAATGACGTGACTTTTTTTTAAAAAAACATGAGCTACTTATGAAAGCATGATCAAATTATTCCAAGTGATACCTTGCTGCCTTGTTGAGGTCCCTGGAAATATATTTAATAAATGGCAAATCAACATTTTTCAAGGCTGTTTATGTTTATGTTGGAACGGCAACTCAGGACTGATACAATTCCAGCATGACACACTGGCATCCTTGCAAGCCACTGCATATTAACTACAAACTGTAACCCTTTTTAGTGACTGCAAGCAGGCTACTGAATTCAAATTACTTGAGCTGCTCCCATTTCAAATGCGAGCTAAAAATGAGCAAAATATGACACTCTGCAGAAATATTTAAAATGACTGCCTTAGGACAAACTTAAGGTGAATACTGATGCATCTATTTTTCCTTTTTTTTCTACATCTGCGTGCCCAACCCAAACCAACTTATGTAAATATGTACCTTTGTGTACACTTCCATCTGTACATTGTTCATATGATATAATATCACATGTAATATAATAAATATATGATGTTTTCCCCGCTGCTTCTCCTCTCCTCACATAAAGGTCTTGGTTAGACCGTTATGGGATGGCAGTGATAATGCTAGCAAATGACTCTGTATTAGTCATACTGAGTAATTACCTCTCACACTGAGAAAACAATATCACACACACTGGTTCTGCATGACAACACGCATACAGAACTCCACGGGGGCATGTGTCTCTGTGTGAATTATGGTCTTGCATGATTTTCAGTTGTTAACCTGTTGATTAGTTTAACCCTAAAGATCAAAATAATGTGATGCCCCAGCATTATCTGTTCTCCTGGATGCAGAGAGCGGTGTGTCGGAAACAACGTGTGTACACTTTACATTACCGTGATAGGTCTTAAGACGCCCACACTAGACTGAACATTACACTGTAATTTAATAAACTATCTTGTTCTCTTGCTGCAGACACATTTAGAGTGCAAAGACAGAGTGGAGGTGTCAAGCCTTCAGTCCTAGCACAAATGAGGCCTGTGTAACAGCGGGAAAAAAATGATAAGCTCAGAGGAACACGACATTATGGAGAATACAAATTACTGTTTACACCAAGCCCGACCTGGACGCGCACTGCTCAAGGACTGAGTGCCTTCTCTCATTTCCATCCTATTCAAAGTATAATTTGAGTGATATTTTTGACATCGGCTACTCACATTATCTACCTCTTATATGATGAAGGTCATTAAGATCAGTAAGACTGACACAGAAAAGTCCCGAGGATAGTTAATGCCAGTTCTACATGTATTTGAGCTTAACAGTGTTATAAGATAGAGACATCATTACTGGCAGCAACATGATACCCAACCAATTAACAATCTGCTTGGCCACAAAGAGCAGAAATACATGTTTTTTTTCTTGCACTTCCAGTTCACACTTATGATGACGCACAACCACAAACGCATTAGAAGTACTGGAGAGCAAGCTCGGATTTGTAATAGACATTTTGACACTCCAATCACAGATCCACAAGCAAAAACAGAACCCATGCTACACAGCTGGTTAGGATCCAGGCACTGTTGGGAGTAATGCCTTACAGAGCAACACGTTATTGTAATCAGGTTAGAGTTTTCAGTATCATAGTAGTGTACCATGTTACTGTACTAAATTTGGCAATTATATTACAGTCTTAATTATGTCATTACTTACATGACAAAGGTTCTTCAGTTATCTGCATGCTGTATGGATAGACAGGCTATAAAGCTAAAACACATGCTTCTCGTTGTGCACTTGTGCTACAGTCATCTGATTTCAGTTTGTGTGCCGGAAAATGGTGGAGCAAGCTACAACTTTTCAGCAGTGGAGGAAATTGACATTACAGCGGTCCCTTGCTATAATGTGGCCTCGCTATTTTGCGTTTTTTCTTTTTTTGTGAAAAATTTTGCATGCTTTTTTTTTTTTTTTTTTTTTACAATGCATTGTGTTCTGCGTCCTGATTGGCTGTAGACCATTGTCAATCAATCTCGTGCTGTGTCTCTTGTACAGTACAGAATGCGTTCAGCTTGTCAAATTTACATAACTCTTCGATCGCTAGCAGTGTGAGTACGTTTTCTCCACAACAATATTGACGAAACGTTTTACGCCGTTCAAGACACCTGCAGTGGCACCCAAAAGGCAGAGGGAGATGCTGACCATCGCACAAGAAGTTGGACTTCAGGACATGCTAAAGGAAGGTAGAAGTTACCGTATTATTCGGACCAGAAGGCGCATTAACCGAAACAAAACAGTCAGATAAGTCAAACTTTACTCAGCTCATTCTTCTTGCTTCCTCTACTTCTGTACTATTGATTCATTAATGTTGAATTCTCTCGCATCTGCTCTATTCCCGTGCTCTGGACTTGAAAACCGGGTTTGATCTTTGGTTTCATTCTACAGGGTGGGCCATTTATATGGATACACAGTAATAAAATGGGAATGGTTGGTGATATTAAAGTCCTGTTTGTGACACATTAGTATATGTGAGGGGGCAAACTCCTCAAGATGGGTGGTGACCATGGTGGCCATTTAGAAGTCGGCCATCTTGGATACAACTTTTGTTTTTTCAATAGGAAGAGGGCCATGTGACACATCAAACATACTGGTAATGTCACAAGAAAAACAATGGTGTGCTTGGTTTCAACGTAACTTTATTCTTTCTACAGCATGCTAACACAAAGCTAGCCAAGAACCCAGAGTGATGGTACAGCTAAGCTATACTGAGCCCAGCAGCCAGAGCCTGAACTTCAACAGTCTCTTTGTGATGGTTTTCTTTGCTTTGTGTTGTCAGCTTTTTGTTTAAATGTAAACAATAAAGAACGATCTTTTGTGTCCTCATTGGGACATAAAGCCTTTGTGTTGGTGTGTAGAACTGTAGCCTGGAGTTTATATTGTTAGCTGGTAATTATGTAACAGTGAGTTTCAGATAATTTTACGGAGTAATGAGAAAGTAATGTGACAGATGCTGTAACGACTCACTGTCTCTTCAGAGTAATTAAGTAACGTATAGCAGTGCTTTTCAGAAAGGTAACCAGTAATTTGTAAAACATTCTTTTTTTTTTTTTAAAGTAACAACCCCACAACTAGATGCAGGGACATATACCTGACCAGGTGTAGAAACATATACTTGTTTTTCACTGATGTGCTGCTTGTGCTATTTGTGAGCCACCAAATCTGTCTTGGCTCATTTTCAGATCCAATCTACATTTTTACATATAAGAGAAGGTTAGGTAGGGTTATGTAGCAAAATTCCTGAAATAGCCCTTCCCAATTTTGCAATGCAGACACAAAGCACATATCTGCTTCAATAGAAAGGCAATAGTGTCCTCCTGGTGGTTGTTCCTCTCTGGCCTTTGCTTTGGAAAATACTTTTAATATTAATTTCACATCAAACAAACCAAAACCCCACAATGGATTTTACTCTGGAATCCCAAACACTTCTCATACTGCCTAAAAGAAATGCAAATCCACATGAAAAAGAATAGATTAGACCCCACCAGTACATAAATAGTGGTATTTTAGTGGAGTTTTTGAGTATAATCATGGTGTAAATGCTGTCTTGGCATTAAAATAGAAGAATATTATTTGAAGATGGGCATAGAGAGTATCAGTTGCCAGAACCTTCATTCTCCCCCCCCCCACCCAAAAAAAAGAGTCAGTGTTAAAATTCAACTTCAGCCAAATCCTCGAGGAGACTGGTAATGATTGCAGTGCAGCAACTCCCCGCTACTTGTCTGTTGTCTCCATAGTGGAAAACCTCATAACAAACACAATACACAATCACTTACACTGATGAAAACATCAGCTGTAAAATAAAAAAAAAAAGTGGTGTAAACTGTTAAAATGAGAGAGAACAAAGTAAAACATGAAACTACAACTACAGTTGCTGTAAATACCAGCACCTTCAAGTAACACACTACCACAAATAGTAATACTTATTCTGGTTTTCCGCTCAGACAGATCACATGACTTTATAACAGCAACAAAGGCATTAGTTTTCTAAGTCAAACAATTAGATTTCATGAACAGCACTGATCTTATCAGAGACAGCAGACTATTTTGTTATCTGTGGACTCCACTGAGGAGAGCATGCACTTGTTTCTCTGTTTGAAGATGTTCCAGTTTACATTCTGTGAACCAATCTGTACAGCAGGGTCTGAGCTAATAAATTATTAGTGCCCTACAAAGAACCAGCCTGGTTTAACACTACAGATAAGTGTTTTCTCCTGCTACAGTATTTATGCCGTTGTAAATTCTGAACACATCAGTCCTTCGGATCTTTTCACTGATTTAAGCATGCAGCCTTTTTTTTTTAAAAGAAATGTTATTCTGTGTCGGATATTAAAAAAGCATGTGTATACTATGAGTGTGTGCTACCTTGCTGAAGGCCAGACAGTCTTTATCCTGGTCCTTGTCTTTGACCTCAAAGTCATACAACGCTTTGCCCTGGGGTGGAGTTTGGCTCAGGGGACGCAGCAGCTGGATGTAACTAGCAGGCAAGAAACCATGACAACCATTGAGCTCGCCGTGGTACCAGTTGTCATCCACCTTGCGTCGCAGGATGATGATGTCACCTTTGGAAAACTGGAGGTCGCCCGGTTCCTTGCCCTCATAAGAATAGAGGGCTTTGCCGCAAGGTAGCGCTGGGATATTCTGTGAAGCATACACACAGAAGCACTTAATATCAGAAGACATTTATAACGTTTTAGAAGGGCATCAATAAAAAGCATTAAGGAAAGGTGTGGATGACATGTGCTATTGGGGTGCTTTTTCATGTTAAATACTATTTTTGTATCGCTTCAGGTTTTTAAAAACCCTTCCAATAAATCTTAGAAGATAAATTCTGTAATATACACTCTGAAATCATAACCTACATGATGAAGGGGTCAAAACAGAAGCTAAAAGGATTAGATTAGAGCACTTGGTTGCTGGTGTTTTGAAATGATTTGCATTTTTCTCTTATATTTCAATATGAAGAATGCTCTCCAGTACAGGAGTTATTAATATAAAAGGTTCGACAGCAGGTGTTCTTTTGACATAAACATCTTACACAGAGCAGCTTTAAGAGCTTTTTTACATCTCTACAGAAGACTAAAAGCATTTCTGTTTAAAATTAGTGCAACTGTGCTGAAATGTTAGGAGATAACTACACTCGCCAAACCTTGGGGTTGACAGATTACAGGGTAATGCTTTTTTATTAAATTCTGTTAAGATGCAACAGACTTTCCCTTTGTGTCATGTCCGGAATAAATGGGCTTCAGGTCTGTTTGCTAATTACAAACAAGGTGGTGACCCCTGCAGCGATGAGTAAATTAAGTTAAAAAAAAAACCCTGGAGGTAAACATGCTATAAACCAACTTAAAACACTGGCAAATCGAATATATTACAAACTACAGGCCCTGGAGACAAATTTGTAGAAATTGAGAATTGGATATGTGCTTGAAGGTTCATTTTATTCCCCCCCAGCAGTATGTGAGATATGACGGGTTATTAAAATGTTTGCGAGGTAATTGCTGCTCCCACCTTGGGCCAAACATAGTAATTTTCAAAATGCCAGAACGGCATGAAGCACGACTCCCCTGAGTTTCATCAAAATCAGGTCCGTGGTGTCTCACTTATCAAATGTCCAGGAAAAATGCACCAGTTATCCTCCACACATCAGATACATGAAGCAAACTTTAGTAAAACGATTAAAACGTCACACTGAACTCAATTTGTGTTAAAACTGCATTTAACTAGTGTGCTTTTAAAATCATTTAAAATGATGATTTGCTAGGCAGATACCCACTATGCATAGGCCCATCACAGGTACACAAGACCGTAACTCTTGCCCTATGACAGCGGATATAGGTTTCAGACCTGCAGACTCTGCAGGTCTGCAGCCCTAAATTGGAAGCTAATGGATGGATGGATACTGTATGAAATCCTTGGGGTATACATTTTGCTATATGTGCTGCTCTGTCTGCAGCACATGTAACAGAACATGAATCACAGCTAAGCAGATGGCGTCTTAATTGTAAGTTACTGACTAGCTCGTACAATAAATTGCTGGAAAGTTCATGAACAATTACCTCATCAATCCTGCCTTTTCAATATGACTCTGACATACATATATATTTGGGTTGTCAAAAAAAATGAAGACTCAGATAGTAATTGATTATAAAAAAATAATATTGGATTAGACACTCCTTTGCAACAGTATTGATATTGTTCACATTGAATTCAGGCAGGTACATAGCCCTCCCCTCACTAGCAGTTATAACAGATGATTTGTAAGGTCAGTAAAGCTCCTGTTTCGAAAACATTAATGTTTTTAACAGTTATATCATAAATGCGGACATGTTTGAGTCAGCCATTTCTTTTGGGAGCACCCCGACAGCCACATTAGCCTCTTGTTAGGTTATGATTACGGTAGTGGCGAGTGGCTGTGACTAATGATGAAAGGATAAAGTTAATGTGGGAGTCATTCAGCTAACATTATCGGTCCTGCCTGTCTGTAATAAAACAGTCTTAGTTTACCAGGATAGCTTGATTATTTGTGTCCAATGAGACATCAGAGAAGGAAAAGAGTATGGTGCAAGTCACCAGAAGCACGAGATAAATATATACTTTATAGTAATGCTATTGTATTATTATTATTATTATTTATTTATTTATTTTTATTATTATTATTACTTGCTTTAGGTGAGTGTTGTGAGTGTTGTTGTTGATGTCATTATTTGTATTTTTCTAAACTTTATTTAAAAATAATTTATATTTGTCTTCCTGTGGTGTATTGAAAAAGTATTGAGAATTGCGTTTGAAAGTTTGAAATTCTCCCAGTTAAGAATAAACATGAATAAATAAAAATTCAGTATAGGCATCAGCCCAAAAGCTCCAGTAATGGTGGGACCTGCATGATAACACAGCACTGGCATATCTGAATAGCTAGCTGTAAATACTGTAAGATGCTATTTCTAACTTACAATAATAAAGACTTTAGGTTTAGAGTGCTAATATAAGTAGCAGCCTTTTTTCCCTGTTAACATATTCTTCCCTTTACCTTAACTTGCACCCCTTATGCCTTAGAGAGGATTAGCTTAACTCCATACCCAGTTTTCTCTGCCACATTGAACCTAGGTTGACATGAGAGGTGTGGGTGCATAAACACAAGATGTGCTCTGGATGCTCTTGCCAAATATTAGCTGTTAATTATTTCTTTTTGTACTTGGAAATGTAAGCCACTCTGTTGAGCAAACCCATATACAATATGACAGCGACAATAGGATCTGACATTTTTCCATATCATTCTTAGCACAGTAGGAAAAACTATCTCTACACTGTAACACAATTACAATGCTGTTTCTTTATTTGGTGTTACATAATGCTGCCTATTGAAAGGATCATCATCTGGTGAGATATTATGACAGTTTTCTAGTATGCTCTAGCATAATATCATGTCTGTAGATAATAGAATGAAGACATTTTCATAGAGACAATACCCCTTAACCAGCTAATTATAAGTCCTCAGTCGCACAGGCCTTGAGACAGATTAGCAAGCATCTGGCAAGTGAGAAAAATAATGTATTCCCCTGACCTGTTGCTAGTGGTTGCTGGAGATTGCTGGTTGATGCTAGGTGTAATTAGTTGCAAAGAGGGTGCTGCAGCACAACCTCCTTGCAATTGCTTTAGTAATTGCCACGCTCATTCATAGTTTGCATTAAAGTCACAACTTGTCTGCACTCACTATTTTATTTTGAAACTTGAAAAGGTGTAACACAAACCAGAAACTTTGACTTCAAGGTAAAAGTTGTACCTTACTGCTGCAACCGTCACATTTCAAAAGGCACAACTTTTACTTTGAAGGCAAAAAGCCTCTGTTTCCAGTTTGTGCCGCACCAAGCACATTTTCACAACCTCTTGGTGAATAGTTTGCAAGCGTTTGCAGCCAAGTTGGCATCTGCCATGCAAACTATGGGCAGCCACGGTAACCAGCTAGCGACGAAAACAATCCCAAGAAGTTTTTTGGTGCAGCACCACAGGCCTCTTTGCTACCGATTTCACACTAGCGATTTCCAGCAGCCTCAGAAACCACTCAGCAACTGGTCATGGAATACTTACTTTTCCCTAGCTCAGTGACCAGCTGTTGGCAAGGGTTCGCTGACCAGTCTCTAGGTCAATGGGCTTCTACCTGTTTATTTCAGAGTGACTTTTAGCAATCTCCAGCAACCACTCGCAACTGATCGCGCAACACACTTTTTTCTCTTACAACCAGCTTGTGTGCTCAAAAAATCATAAATTTTCTCTGACCGTGTGTGACCCTTTAGCAAATAACTGTGGGTTGAAGGTGAGCCACTGTTGGAGAAATTATTTAACCTGCCTACGTGGCATGCTATAGGGGAAATCTTGACAGCAATAGCAACAGCAAGTAAGGGGGAAAGGCTAATATAGTCTAGATTCAGCAAGTGAGATAAAACTGTCATTTCCATATAACCAGTGATACAGAGATATACATCATCGCAGTACACCTATATTTACTTTCTCTAACACCACACACACACACACACACAAACACTGCAGCGTTCAGCAGATACTTAATACACCGAACATGTTCTTGAAGGCAAGCGGTCCTGAAAGGGAGTTTATCTTAAAGAAGATCCAAATAAACAAACAGCACTGTGTAACAGAAGAGACAATGCATGAGAGTGAAAACGTATTTTCTTCACAGAGAAGCTGTTTACAATAACACAAACACACGCACACACACTGACATTTTATACACTCACATATAGATGGATTCTCCCCAGACAGAGCACCGAAGAGAACAGCCTGAGGCTCCCCTGCCTGACTGTTTTGAGATCAGTGATGACGCAATAAGAGGAAACACACACACAGACACACGCAAACAACTAGAAAGCAAAATAAAATACCAATGCTGCTTTAACTATTACTACTGCTACTTCTCTCTTCTACTGTAACACATTTAATACAGCTTGTGTTTCACTACTATACAAAACAACACTTGATCAAAGAAGACCTTCCACTAAACTTATTCTCCTCCTCTCCTTAGTGCCAGACCTACCGGCACTGATGTTGGGCAGAAAGGTGTGGATTGAGGTCAGGTGTGTTTAAAACAGGGGTGTGAAACATAAGACCCGGGGGCCAGAATTGGCCCGGCAAACATTACCTTTCGGACCACTGGACCGCTTTAGAAAAAGTGAAAGAGGGCATAAAGTTTGCATATTTAAATGCATTTTAATAAGTTTTACAGTTTTTTCCTGGTGATGAAGACCTCCCCCATGACAATTTATACCATACCAAAATAATCACGTAAAGGA